GTTTCTGAAGCCCCAAGTGCCTGCCTGGGACTTCAGATGGCAACAATATAGGGCTTAGGTATACAGTTGAGTACTGATTCCCCTCACTAGAGAGGAGGGATACATGCATTCACTCTGTCCAGGTAGAACAGTAGCTTGTCTTTGTTCGTTATGTTATTAGGCCCTTTTTGTACTTACTTTCGACCCCCCTGATTGCCCCAAAGCTTTTTAGCAATAATCTTTTTCCCTGCTCCTTAAAGTGCTGCAGGTGGGGTGCAAGAAACAGCCGCTTAAGGACAGGAAGTGAAGAAGAGCCCTGCCTTCCATGGAATATAGGCCAGCAGACTGTAATTACCCAAATGTTTATGGGCTCTCTTTATTGTATGAGTCACAGAGGGCTTGCGAGGGGGCAGCAATTTCCATTTTGTTCAGGGCAGTAATATCCCTAGAGACCAGACTGATCTATGGAGCTGCCATATCAAACTCTCCTAAGAAAGAAAGATAGTAAATTTATTAGTCAGCTCACATTGGACTTTGCCATGTAGGAAGGGAAAGAATTCAACTGAAAAAAAATGCCTTTAAAACCTCAATTCTGTAAGCATCTGTCTCATTTTGAGTATGGCTGTGCCTTTCGGTCCCTAAGAAAAGGAGAAGGTACATTCAAATGATCCACTGGAGATGATTTTCAGCTTCCCAGAGCTGAGCAGGAACCAGGGAGGGGTTAATTACCTCAAGGGATCCATATTCCCCTCCTCCCGTATCCCTCTTCCTGAGTGATCTTCACCCACCTTTGACCTCCCTCTTCTGTCAGGCCTGGGGCTGAGATAAAACGCTGTGAATTAACCAGAGGACAAACAAAATGATTGCAATTCTCTGGACAGATGGCAGGCACCAGGGAGGAGGGTCAAGGAAATGATATCTGTGTCAAAGAAGGCAGCAGATTGAATTAGGAGCCCTGCAAAGGAATTAAAGTGAAATTACCCCATGTAAGACCAAGGGAAAGCAGTGATGGAAGTGGAAATAAGGGCAAATTAAAAGAAAGGGGACAATGAGAAAAAAGGGTCACAGGGAGGGAGAGAGCGGGAGCAAAGCAGAAGCCTAGTATATAAGAATTGGATATTATCCCTTTAACTGTCTTGCAAATTCTCCAGAGATAGTCACTGTGTTCAGCTTTAGAAACCAGCCAGAGCTGCGTTGTTGACATCTAACTTGGTTATTCGGGCCCCCGTATGCCTATACAATTCCTTCATACCGTGAAGAGCAAGAGACACAAAAAGAAGGTGATGGGGGAAAAAAACAAGCAAAATAAGTTTAAGAGTATGCTGAACTAGGGAGGTGAAAATACAGCGCTACAAATTCTTCATTATCAGTTGTATTTCCATCGCAGCTAGAGACGCCAGCTGAGCTCAGGGCTTCATCCTACTGCATGCTGCACCGGAGAATTAAAATGGGACACAGCCCTTTCTCTGAACTGCTCATCAGCTGAGCAGGCAAGGTAGAAATTCACACTGTTCGTCTACAGGTGAGGAAACAGAGGCATAAGAAGACATGATTTGCTCAGGTTCACACACACATACACATAGAGTCCATGGAAAACTTTTATAAGGGGATGTCTACACTGCAAATAGAAGAGACATGTCAGAGCTGGCTTTGAACTAACTAACTCAGGTACTGGTAGCAGTCTGGTCAAAGCAGCATAGAGCTCAGCGTAAACTAATTTCCCCTGCCAAGAGTCTCACACCAGTGCCTGAACCATCCATCACCATCTCCCCTCTCCTTGCCTGGTGTTTTGGGGCATGAAGAAAGGGTGTGGTACACAGCGTGGGTGAGAGCCCCAGGAGGCACTTGGCGTAGCAGTGGTAATGCCAAGCCCAAGGATCCATGTAGGAGGAAAGGAGAGTAAAGGCCAGTAAATGAGCT